CAGGGAGGGTCTGGCCACCCTCCAGCCCTCTCCCCAATTCCAGATTATTCTCCAGATCTCATCACTTGGGTGTGAGGAGCCCGGGGCTCCGGGCTGCTGCAGGACAGGGCAGGGCAGGTGGAACTTGCCCGGTCTGCTGTCTGGGGACCTCTTTAGAGGAGAGCGGAGAAGCCCCCAGCCCCAGGAGCCCCTGGGGCTTGCTCAAGGCCGCACTGGGGCTCGGCCTGTGTCCTAACAAGCTCCCCAGGTACATGTGAGCAACCAGCTAGCATTAGCCTTGACACGTGCGCGCGCGTGTGTGTGTATGTGCGCGTGTGCACACACGTGCAGGGTGGTGGACAGTCTTCGTCCTGGGCAGTGGCGTCTGGGGTTCCCAGGTGACCCCAGGCAGGCCACAGACCCCCCTCCCTGTGCCTACGTCTGCCCCTCCGGTTCTTAACTCTTGCATGCACCAGCCAATCAACGCACTCATATGCGACTTGAACTCAGGGCCTCAAGGTCTCATTTGGCTTTTTTGCTCAGGGTTGGCACTCTCCCATTGGAGCCCCAGCTTTACGTCTGGCCTTTTGATGGTCCCTTGGAGTGAAAAACTCTTACGGTTTTGAACACAATCCTCCGATCTCAGCCTCCTCCCGAGTAGGATTGCAAACGTGAGCCACCAGCGCCCTGGCTCAGATAACCTTGCTATAATGCCTGGCACGTAGCAGGTGCTTACGAAAGCTGAGCTGCGGCTACAGCGAAGACAGTGTCATTTCACGGTTTATTTAGAATAGCCACATTTAACTGGGGATGTGGTCCTGTTGGCAACATACATTAGTATATGTGAAGGGAAAGAAGCCACAAGCAGTCCTGAGCCTTTAACCCAAAGCTAGGAGGCGGGGGCCGGGCTGGGCTGGGGTGCTGCGGGTGAGGGCAGGGGAGAAGGGAGCCATCTCCCAGCCCTCCCTGGGCAGTGAATTTGCCTGTGGATCTAAACAGGCCGCCAGTCAAATCCTCCTCTCCCCGTCAGGCGCCCCGCACAGCCAGCACCAGGGATGTTGTGACAGTGGTCGCCCTGACAACCGGGGACCGCGCTGGGCCTCCGGCAGTGATTTCATTATCCTCTTGGGGTCTGAGAACCAACCAGAGCCGGCCTTGGCCCTGCTGGGCCCTGGGCTTGCCCCGGCCACACCCACTCCCTAAAGGACTTAGGGTTTCTTCCTAGAGCCCGGAAGCACAGTTTCCATGACGTTGGTTCATGTCAAGACCAGGGAGAATGTATAGAGCTCCGACTGTATGCCCAGCCAGGCCCTGAAGGCTGGGGGGGAGGGGAGAGGGAGGGTGGGGGAGGAGACGGGCAGAATTCTTTATCTACGTGGTAGTATTCTTGTTCTCTAGCGCTTGAACTCAAGGCCCTGTGCTCTTGTTGGGCTATTTTTTTGGCTCAAGGCTGGTGCTCTGCCACTTGAGCCACAGCCCCACTTCTGGCTCCCCCTCTCCCCATTCTGTTTTTCATTGCTGATCTAAGAGTCTCACATCCACCCAGTTTCCTGAGTGGCCGGGATGACAGGTGTGTATCACTGGGCCCGGCTCCCTCTGCTTTTCCGAAGAATCCGGCAGGGCCTCCTGCTTGAGCAAACCCCTAAACACACTGGGTTTGTCTCGGTGAAGAGTCTGAGTGCCAAATTTCCTGTTTCTCATTAGGGATTTCAGACACGGTTATTTTTAGCTCTGTCACATGTCTTGACTTTTTAATTTTTTTTTGTTGTTTGTGCTGCTAAATTTATCAACCTGCTAACACAGTACAGTAATAAGGCTGGATTCCAGGCTCAGAGTTGGGCCTGCGGAAATTTTCCATCTGCCGTGGAGGTGCCAGATCGCCCCCCAGTGGGCAGATGGAGAATTGCACCTCAGGTTCAGGCTGTCCCCCCTCTTCCCTCCTCCCCCCCCCCCCCCCCCCCCCGCCTTTGCAGGAGCCAAGCCCAAGTTTGTGGAGGGCAAAAGGGAGGAGACCCCCTCACTCTGACCCCTAGTAGTGCCGCCAGATGCTGGACCTGGCTAGGACGCCCATCTTCCAGGCGTTCTGTGTCTGTGTGAAGATGGACATTTGTGCTGTGCTGTTCTGCGTGCACTTGAATTGAGGGCGCCCTAGAAATCAAACTCACTAGCCCTGCCCCCTGCCTTTGATGGCCCTGCAGCGGAGGGTGGGGGAGAGCGCCTGGGACCAGAGGCCTCGAGTTCAGATCCTGACCCTCGGGCAGGAGCGATCGCTTCTCTGTGGTCACCATGAAGAATATCCATGGAACCGTTTTTGCATTTTTTGGAGTCTATTTCTCATGTGGTGATGACAGGGAATATTCCTATTGTGTCAGCAGCGCTAGGGTCAAACCGTGTAGTTATTTATGCGTTAACAAGAGTTTGCTGGACTTGGGTTAAATCCTGATTTGTCTGGGAGCTGTTCACACCTGTCACCCCAACTACTCAGGAGGCTGAGATCTGAGGATCGTGGTTCAAAGCCAGCCTGGGCAGGAAAGTCTGTGAGACTCTTATCTCCAATTCATCACAGGAAAAGCCAGAAGCAGAGTGGCTTCAGGGGGTCAAGTGCTAGCCTTGAACAAAGAAAAGCTAAGGGGCAACACCAAGGTCCTGAATTCAAACCCTAGTATTGGCAGGAATAGCTACCAAGGCAGGCATAGTGGCTCACGCTTATAATCCCAGCTACAAGGGAGGTAAAGATTGGAGGAAGTGTGAAGCTAGTCCAGATGATGCGTTAACGAGATCCCATCTCAACCAGTAAACGCTGGGCAAGGTGGCACACACCTCCCAGCGTGTGTCAAGGATTCAAACGAGGATCAGGGTCAAGATCCTGTCAGAAAAATCATGCAAGCAGGAAATGGGAGGTGTGCGGCCTTGTGGGCGGAGACACGAAAAATCACCCAACCTAGATTAGGGGAACAAACCCCACACACCAACCATTCCCCCCACTCGCCGCAGACACGCCAGCATTGCTTTTTCTAACATCACCTCGGAGAAGGGAACAGAAAAAAAAAACCAGGTCAGCTGCAACCTGGCCACCAGAGCGAAACAGGCGGCGACACCGGTCGGCCAGGCCGCGCATCTGCTCTCGGCTCCGTCTGCCGGTGCTTGCTGCCGTCCGGGCGGAGGGGTCGGTGGCTTCCAGGCTTTCTTGCTTATGAATGTGGCAGTCGTGAATTCTTCTAAAAGCTGAGCTCTCCTGACCGGCACACTCGAAGGGAACAGCCGCAAACACATCTGATACACGCTGACATTGTGTGCCGGTCTTGGGACTTGAACCTGGGGCCTGGGCGCTGTTCCTCAGCATTCTCACTCAAGGCTGGTGCTCTTAGCACTTGAGCCAACAGCTCCATTTCTGGTTTTCTTGGTGGTTCATTGGAGAGAAAGAGTCTCGTGGACTTTCCTGCCTGGGCTGGCTTCGAACTGTGATCCTCAGATCTCAGCCTCCTGAGTAGCTGTGATTGCAGACGTGAGCCACCCATGTGCGAGGTGTGTGTGCATTCACACACATGTGAGGTGTGTCTGTCTCTCCACCCCCAGTTCCGCCCGCTGCCTTGTGAAGGCCCCAGTTTACTTCTGACTCAGAATGTAAAAGGGAGGATCGCGGTTCTGGCTGCCCAGTCGTAAGTGTGGGACCTTACTGTGAAAAAAAAAATCACAAGGGCAAAAAAGGGCTGGTGGGATGGATGAAGAGGTAGAGTGCCTGCCTAGCAAGCGCAAGGCGCTGAGTTCGAACTCTGGTCCTGCCCAGGAAGGGGCTGTTGCTCAGGCGGCTGTTGGTCAGCTGATGGCCGCTCTAGGTCTGGAGGTTTGTCTGGGGATGGCTGTCTCCAGGGATGTGGCCTGGAGCCTCTCCAGCCAGCCTGGTGTGGCTGTGGGGCGGGTGAGACTCGGCGCCTCAGCCGCCTGGTCTCAGCAGGCGCCGTGTTCTCCGGGCTACCTGGCTTCTGTCTTGTGCAGTCCTGAGATGATTTTGAGCTTGGGACTTGCTGGGCAAGTGTTTGTCCTAAGCCCCGGTGTCAGCGGGGGCTGGGTGGCTCCATGCGCTCTCAGAATATCTCGTGGCCGCTGGGGTTTGGGGCCCTGACTATAGTTGAAAATGAGGTGTTCTCTGGTTTGGTTTGCTATCTGTTTGCCTGGTCAGTTTTTTTTTTTGGTCGGTTGTGGGGCTTGAACTTAGGACCTGGGCGCTGTCCCTGAGCTTCTTTTGCTCAAGGCTAGCACTCTACCACTTGAGCCACAGCACCACTTCTGCTTCTGGTGTTTTCTGTGTATGTGGTGCTGAAGAATCGAACCCAGGGCTTCATGCATGCTAGGCAAGCACTCCACCACTAAGCCACAGTCCAAACCCCAGGTCAGTTTTTATGAAGGAGGATCAAGAGATTTAAAAACATCCTTCCATGATTGCATCTTCTGAGTTACTTTTCTCATTTTAGGTAAAAGTGCTCATGAACGGATATAGTTTCCTTTTTTTTTTTTAATCTTGCCATGTTTCCCTCCTCTTCTTTCTTTGTTATTTTGCTGGTTTGCCCTGCCACTTGAGCCCTGCCTCTAGTCCTGCATTTTGCTAGTTCATTGGAGTTAAAGTGTAGCAGACTTTCCTGCCCAGGCTGGCTCTGAACCCAAATCCTCCTGGTCTCAGACTCCTGAACAGCTGGGATTACAGGCGTGAGCCACCAGTACCAGGCCTCTTGCTTCTCACCTGAGCCCCGCAGTGCAAGAGAACCAACTTGGTCCTGTATGCACTCCATGAATCCTTGCCCATGGCAGTGACCTGTGGCTGCATCCACCTGGAAGCTTCCAGATTGCGAGGCTTTGGGAGATGCAAGCATCCTCATCCTAGGTGGAGGGATGCTCTCACTGAAGCAGAAGCACCTCGTCCCCATCCGGGGCTGCCGGGGCTGGGGCGGGCAGCAAACACTGGGTTTCCCCCCTCTGGGTCTGACGTCAGTGCCTCTGAGCAGGCCTTGTTGCTGTCTCCTCAGAGCAAGCTGGTCAAGTACTTCAGCCGGCAGCTGTCCTGCAAGAAGAAGGTGGCGTTGCAGGAGCGCAACGCTGAACTCGACGGCTTCCCCCAACTCCGGCACTGGTTCCGGATCGTGGATGTCCGCAAGGAAGTCGTGGAGGTGACCAGAGGCCGCCCTGCTCCCTCCCTTCCCCTTTCTTCCCCTCCCCTTTCCTCCCTCTCCTCCCCCAGAACCCAGCACCCACCTGCTCCATTCCTCCCCTGGTCCAGCACTGTCCCTAGTACATAGTAGGTCCTCAATTAATGTGCCCAGGATCTCTGAAGTTCCTGGACAGGCTGGCTGAGGGCATGGCTTCAGAGTCAGCTAGAAAACCTTCCAGCCCTCATACTTAATGGAGTCACTCTAGCCAAGTAATTTCTCTCAGTCCAGGGCTGTTCATGGAGACTTGGTTCCCAGTGGGAATACTTCTTCATCCGTGTTCTTGGCTCTATCTGCCACGTGGGACAATTGAATTGTGGCTGAGGATTGCATTTTGTGGGAAGTGGCTGCCATATTGAATCGCAGGGTCAGAGCCGTGGTCTGCCCATGTGGTAGCCACAGGGACCGTGGTCCTCCCTTTCTCTCACTGGCTTGGCCTGATCCGCAGAGAATGTCCAGCTCATTGTCTGGCAGACAGGCTTCAGCCTGTTGTGGAAAGCCTTGGGAATGGCAGGTGATTTTTCCAATGGCAAAACCAAACCAGAGCATCTGGCTAGTGTCCCCCTTCAGGCTGGGTGTCCCCACTCCAGGTTGAGCCACACCCTCCATGGCCCTGACCCAGTGGAGGAGCCAAGCTCTCTCTGTAAAACCAGAGTCATTGTTGAACCCCCCTCCCCGTCCAGTCACTTTACGGAGGCTTTACAGGGAGAATTTCAGGTGTAGAATCATCCACACCTTCAATGACCTTTTGAGTAGACAATTGTCTCCCACCCTTCTTCCCTCCCTACCTCCCTTTCCCCTCCCCCATTCCTTCTCAATTTAATGTGGAATTAATGTGCGTCTAATGTGGATCTTGTATTTTAATGATCTTACATTTAATACAGATCTTGTATTTTCCTGTAATGTACAGATGTGGCCACAAGAGGGCAGAAGTATCCTGAAATCCTGCCCTAGCTTAGAATCCATTCCTCCAATTTAACGTGGGAATCTGTATTTTCCTGTAATGTACAGAGATGGCCACGAGAGGGCAGAAGGATCCTGGAATCCTACCCTAGCCTAGACTCCATTCCCTCCAATGTGATGTGGGAAGCTGTATTTTACTGTAATACTCAGACATGGCCGCAAGAGGGCAGGAGAACTCCATATTATCACCCTAGCTGAGAAGCCAATTCTTCAATTTAATGTCTGTGTTTTGCCGTAATACTAAGGCATAGCCACAAGAGGGCAGGAGAACGCCACACTATCACCCTAGCTGAGCCTCCCTCCAATTTAATGTGCTTTGCTGTAATACAAGGCGCTTTGCTGTAATACAAGGCACAGCCACAAGAGGGCAGAACTCCACGCTATCACCCTGGCCTAGTCCATCCCTCCAATTCAGTGTGTATGTGTGTGTGTGTGTGGGGGGGGTGCGTTTTGCTGTAATACTCAGGCACGACCACAAGGAGGCAGGAGACCTCCATGATATCACCTAGCCCAGGATCATGTTGACTTAGTTTAAATGACAATGATTTTTTTTTTTTACATCGTTACCAGTGATTGCTCTTGTGTCTGTGTGCGCGCGCGTGTGCACTAGTCCTTAGACCAGGGCCTGGGCAGTGTCCCTGAACTCCTTCTGCTCAAGGCTAGTACTCTGCCACTTGCAGCTTTCTTGGTGATGAATTGGAGATGAGTCTCACGGATGTTTATGACCAGGCTGGCTTTGAACCTCCCACCCTCAGATCTCAGCCTCCTGGGTAGCTAGGATTACAGGCGTTGAGCCACAGGTGCTCCGGTCCATTGATTGCTCTTACATGCATATATAGATACATCTGTGTTTGACAAATCTGCAGGGTCTGGGGCAGGAGCGGTGAGGCCACAGTTCCTCCGCCCTGCTTGTCTGTTCCCGCCTTGGCTGTCCAGAGGCATCCTTTCCCCTACTGTGCACTGTTCCCTAGCCCTGCCACATGGCCCTGGATGCCGAGTTGCGTCTCCAGGTGCTCAAGGGTCAACACTAGCACAGAGTGTGCACCTAGCAACCACCCCTGGTGCCTGCCCACAGGGACCTCGTGGCCCAGGCCCAGTGACCCTCCTTCTCCATGCCCTCCCCTAGGAGATCTGCCCCGGGCAGCTGAGCCTGGAAGACCTGCTGGAGATGACGGATGAGCAGGTGTGTGAGACGGTGGAGAAGTTCGGGGCCAACCCCGAGGAGTGTGCCCGGCTCAACGCCTCCCTGTCCTGCCTGAGGGCCGTGCACTTGTCAGGTGAGCAGAGGGGGCTGGGGCAGCCTGGGGGGGAAGGTGGGTGCGGGGATGGGGGAGGGTGGATCTTGAGAGGGGTGGTGGTTTCTGGGTCCTTGTGGCGGGGAGCAGGACCGCAGATCTGAGCTCTGGGCAGGGTTTACGTTCTGGAGTGCCGTCTGGACTTCCGTTTTGCCAGTTCTGCGGCTTTGACTCAGGGCCTAGCGCTTGTCTTTTTCACTTATTGCTGGTATTCTGCCGCTTGCGCCACACTTCCTGCCCAGCTTTTGCTCTTTAATTGGAGGTGGAGCGCGCAGGTCCTGGGCTGAGCTCAGGTGCTGGGCCCTGTCCTCCAGCTTTATTTTTCAAGGCCACGGCTCCCTTCCAGCTTTTTGGTGATTAATTGCTGTCGGGGTTGGCTTTGAATCGCAGTTTCAGATCCCAGCAATCCCTTGTACACCCATGCACACGTGCGCACCCCGTGTGCACGCCCAGGTCCGCGCACACACCCCCATGCACGCCCAGGCCCGCGCACACACATCCCATACGCCCAGGTCCGTGCACACACACCCCCGTGTGCACGCCCATGCCTGCGCACACCCCGTGTGCACGCCCATGCCTGCGCACCCCCCCCGTGTGCACGCCCATGCCCGCGCACACCCCCGTGTGCACGCCCATGTCCGCGCACACCCCCGTGTGCACGCCCATGCCCACGCACACCCCCCCGTGTGCACGCCCATGCCTGTGCACAACCCCCGTGTGCACGCCCATGCCCGCGCACACCCCCCGTGTGCACGCCCATGCCTGTGCACAACCCCCGTGTGCACGCCCATGCCTGCACACACCCCCGTGTGCACGCCCATGCCTGCGCACACCCCCGTGTGCAAGCCCATGCCTGCGCACACCCCCCGTGTGCACGCCCATGTCCGCGCACACCCCCGTGTGCACGCCCATGCCTGCGCACACCCCCGTGTGTACGCCCATGCCTGCGCACCCCCCGTGTGCACGCCCATGCCCGCGCACACCCTCCGTGTGCACGCCCATGCCCGCGCACGCGGCCCCGTGTGCACGCCCATGTCCGCGCACACCCCCGTGTGCACGCCCATGCCTGCGCACACCCCCGTGTGCACGCCCATGCCTGCGCACACCCCCGTGTGTACGCCCATGCCTGCGCACACCCCCGTGTGCACGCCCATGCCCGCGCACACCCCCCGTGTGCACGCCCCTGTCCGCACACCCCCCGTGTGCACGCCCATGCCCGCGCACACCCCCGTGTGCACGCCCATGCCTGCACACACCCCCGTGTGTACGCCCATGCCTGCGCACCCCCCCGTGTGCACGCCCCTGTCCGCACACCCCCCCGTGTGCACGCCCCTGTCCGCACACCCCCCCGTGTGCACGCCCATGCCTGCACACACCCCCGTGTGCACGCCCATGCCTGCGCACCCCCCCGTGTGCACGCCCCTGTCCGCACACCCCCCCGTGTGCACGCCCCTGCCTGCACACACCCCCGTGTGCACGCCCATGCCTGCACACACCCCCGTGTGCACGCCCCTGTCCGCGCACGCGGCCCCGCGGGGCTCACGCTGGTCAGCCCGGGTGCGCTGCGCGTCCGTCCCGGGCCGGCCCGGGCTCCTGCGGCCCCTCGGCCGGGCCCCACGCGCCCCGCTTCTCCCCGACGCTGCTTCGCTCTAACGACAGAGCCGGGCGGCGCTTTGGTCTCTTGTGGCCTCTCCCGGCTCCTGCAGACCGGCTGACCCCTGACCCTCAACCCCTGACCCTCGAGCCCTGAGTGTCACACAGGACACTGATCCAGAGGAGCTGACCTCTGACCCTTGACCCCTGAGTGTCACACAAGACAGCACTCCAGCCACGACCCGGCCTCCGCTGCTCCTTTGGCTCAGCCAGACGCTCCTGCAGGGCCTGGGGTGACAGCGGGATCGCGACCCCACGGCGCAGGCGCAGGCGCAGGCCCCGCCCCCCATGGCATCGGGGGAGCGAAGCCCTGGAGAGCGCGGCCTGCTCCTACGCATGCGCGTGCGTGCGCGTGGCCGCTGTCCACCAGGGGGCGCCCCGCCTTTCTGGAAGCTTCCACCTGGGGCCCGGCTGGGGGCGTGGAATCTCCTGACTTTCACCTTAACTAACGGCGTGGCCCGAACTCTGGAGTGAAACCCGGCCTTGTTGCCGGGGGCCTCGCGGTCCCCGGGGCTCCGGG